AACATTTGACCTTTAATTTTCTCTATAGCACTTATCAATGTTCATTATGCCAAACACATTGCTTACTTACTTATCTTACTTCTCCCCTAAAAGTGAAAACTCCAGGAGATTGGGAAATTTGTTTCGAAAATTGCTATATCACTGCACTTAAAATTGAACCTTGTACATAGCACACACTAAATACATATTTATGGAATGAATGTGATTATTAAAAAACACTAACAATAGTAATTAATATAAATCATAAAGAGAAAGAAATAAGTATACTGTAAGTGTATGCTTACAAAAAAAAGCCATAGAAATGTAGCACAAATATATATGATTAATATGAACTTCACGGAAAGATTAATCATGGCTTTAATAGAAACTTGGATTGCATCAAAGACATTATATAATGATAATGAGAAATGAAGGTTGGATCTAGATCATACAGAAGAAAAAGATTCATAACAAAAATGAAACATTTATCTCATTTTCTCCTTTCTTATATGTGTTTGTCTTCTTTCGTTAGATACCGGAGTGACCGCAAAGTTGTCATTGACTGTTCCTTCAAATGTGGTTGAAGAATCTACCAGGGCAATATATTCAGTTTTGGGTGAGTCTCTCAGCCCAAGGGAAGCAGCTGCCCATCCCTATAATTCTAATGCAGGGGCCTCCCCATCCATGATTAATGGAGTCCCTGACACTAGGCATTGCATCAAGAGAAAGAGCACTAAGCTAAGAGTTGCACTATGTATTAGTTGGAAATGGGGTCGAATAGATGTTGTGCTACATATTATATCTTGATAAACTCTAAAAAGTAAGGAGGTTCTCATCTCTGTGCCCTCATCTTCAAGTGATCTACAAGGTGACAATGCTTCCTAGTAGATTTGAAAACGACTGTAGTTCATCTTACCAGACATCAGAAAAGATGTATCGCCTGCCATTCAGTTTCTTTCCTGCTTTTTCCGTCCTTGAGTGGTCTACTTTCTCTTCTCACCATTTTCTTTCCTTCCTATTTCTCATTTCTTCTCCTTTTGTACATTCTTACCCTTCGCTCCATACATAATTTGGCCTTTCAGTTAGCTAGCCCAATCTATTTTTCTAGTCCAACACAAGCCAGCTCTGTGATTCTCTCATTTCTCTATAACTTTCATTCCCCAGGAGATATACTAGGCTCTGTAGTGCAAAACCTTCAGAATCTTCTCCGGATGCCCTATGGTTGTGGAGAGTAGAATATGGTCCTTTTGTCCCTAACATCTGTGTTCTAAACTATCTGAATGAGACCCGACAGCTGACAGAGAAGACCAAGGCCAAAGCCATCAGCTACCTCATCAGTGGTGAGATATTACCTCAAAACAAGAAACTCATAATTGATCTCCTAATCTTTTGGTGATCTCAAATCATCTCTTTGGTTAATATTTGATAGTCATTGTTGCTGTGATTTCCAATAAAATGTCTATACAGCTAGAAAATTTGAGGGTATCCTCAAGTCTTGGGGACATCTTTGTAAAATAGTACTTGCCCTATGATTCCTCAATGGCATTGAGGAAGAAACTCAATAATCCTTTAATGTCTCTGCTATTTCATAAATCTATGAAAACTTCTTCTTCAGGGTACCAAAGGCAGTTGAATTACAAGCACAGCGATGGTTCATATAGCACCTTTGGAGATCATGGTGATAGAAGTCAGGGAAACACTTGGTAAGACAATTATTTCCATATTCTCTCTGCAGATCCATGACATTTCAGGATTCTAGAAATAGCTACTCTCTAATATCTGGAGTTCTGTGTGGAAAATTGTCCGTCTTTAAAAACCCACATACTGTATGTGTTATCCCTGCTGGGCAACCTCACCATTTCATCTCTGAAAGCTCGCATGCTCTCATAGCACAACAGATAGTGGTAAAATAAGGATCCCCAAAATGGAAATATAAGGAAGAAACTGTCATTATGTAAAATGAAAGAGAAAGAAATTTTCACACGGTACATTAAAGAAGGAGAGGAGGGGGAGGACAGAAAGAAACTGTGATGTAGTAAAATCAGGAGAAGTCATTCAGGAAATGCAGTTTTGATAATGGGGAGGATTGGAGGCTCCAACAAATATTTCATGGGAAAAAAAATGAAAAGCATCAACTCTGGGGAACCAGTAAAGGTGAGAGCTTTAAAAATAGAGATTCATATGTTTGTTGGACCAGAGAATATTCAGCTCTCAAGTATAGTTTCCCCACCAATTTCCTCCACTACATTTTGAAGTTCAATGTCTGGAGGCAGTGCACAAGTGAGCTCTAAACGTGAGGTGGTCCTCATGTTTCAGCCTCCCTTTTGCTGGACAGGCTCACTGCATTTGTGCGCAAGTCCTTTGCGCAAGCCCGATGGTACATCTTTGTGGAAAACTCACACATCCTGAATGCCCTCACCTGGCTGTTAGAGAAACAAAAGAAAAATGGTTGTTTCCAGCGTTCTGGATCACCCCTAAACAATGCCATGAAGGTGATGCCTTCTCTAATTTTATTCTGGTCCCAGAAGTTAGTGATATGTAGGAGGGAATGATGTTTATATTGAGTCCTACAGTCCCCATGGCATAGCTTTCAGGAAGGATGGTGGACTCTAAAGCTCCTGAAATCTAGCCATGTTAGCAGTTTTTCTAATTGAATGAAAAATAAAAATAGTATTCAAATAAAAGTGAGGGAAGGTGATTTGGGATAATCTCAAGAATTTTAGGACAGAGGAGGATGAGGGAACATCAACAATATGGCAGAAGAAAAGAAACTATCTAGTGAAGATGCCAAAGGGAAAAGGAGAGTTAGCAGACTCTGGCTAACGACTGTTGGAGTGTTTGAGGCTCTCTGCCACTGGTCCTTACAGGACAGGGTGGACAACGAGGTGACACTCCCCGCCTACATCACCATTGCTCTGCTGGAGATGCCACTGCCTGTCACTGTATGTACAAGCACGTTCCCTCTACCTCCTTCACAATTGTAAAGAGTAAAAATAATAACACTATGAATCCCTGAAGAAAATTAATTGTGGTTTTCATGATATTTAATTTGGTACATTTCACTGGAATGTCAAAGGACCACGTCCTTTTGGAAGCTGCAGGGGAAACTATTCTGTGGTTAGAACTGTGATGTTGCATGGGCGCATTGGGGTTTTTAATCTGGGATTAGCCTGGGGACAGTTCATTTGCCTAGTTCTGCTATTTTAGGATTGCCTTTCTTCTTTGTAGCACCCAGTTTTCCGAAATGCTCTATTCTGCCTGGAAAAGGCCTGGAGCTTCACCTCCAAGGCCCATGGAAGTCTTGTCTATACCAAGGCATTATTGGCCTATGCCTTTGCCCTAGCAGGAAACCAGATCAAGAGAAGAGAGCTGCTGGAATCACTAGACAGAGAGGCTGTGAAAGAAGGTAAGAACTGCTACTGCAGAATTCACTTCTAACAATCACCAGTGATCAAAAGAAGGGAGAATACCTCTACTGAGTTCACACCTCTCATGCTACCTTAATTTTAATGACCATGAGAAATTACTGTTGATCTAACACTTAAATTCTCTAGGCAACCTGGAACATTTTATCAATCCACCCATTATAGACTCTATACAGCCACAACTTCTAATATCACACAAGTATGTAATAGTCACAAAGATTCAAGACGATTAGCTGGGACTTTATTTTCTTGGCAAACATTTGCTCGATGATGACTATTTAACACTTTTTTACTACATTTATGTCAATTCGTTAGGTGAGCTCTAATTATAATCATCATTTATGGATTAAATTTTGAAACCATTCTATGAGCTTAAAGATTCTACCCTTTTCCATTTTAAAGAGGATTCAATCCACTGGCAACGTCCTGGGAAACTTCAAGAAGCTAAGACACTTTATCACCAACCCCGGGCTCCTTCTGCAGAAGTGGAGATGACATCTTACGTGCTCCTTGCCTATCTTACTGTCCAGCCTGCTCCATCTTCAGAGGACCTGTCTGTGGCATCACGTATTGTGAAGTGGATTACCAAGCAGCAAAACCCCCATGGGGGCTTCTCCTCCACTCAGGTCTGTGGAGGAGAAATAAATATATTAACACATATGTAGACACAACCATATTTTAGGGGCTGAATAATTGAATGGTTTGCATTTCTGCCCATCACTGTCACCCGCCTTGTTATTTTTTGTGTGAATTACTGCTATGCCTTCTACACTCTCTCATATCTTCTCTCCTTAGTGGACCCCCAACAGTACAGGTGAGTCAATCTTCCCAAAGCAATGTTTTCATGGGACTACTTCCCTTAGATAAGAAATTTTTTTTTACGTGAATCCTAAAATTATCTGATATTTTACCCAAAATATGTCCTCTCCCCAGTAAATATAAATGCACTAATCTAATTAGACAGATCCCTTCGATTTTTCTGGAATTGGCTCACTGCCATTTCCGTGTCTTCACATAGAACATTCCCCAGCCTGGCACTCCCTGATGACTCTCTCTGTCTACATAAACTCTTCTCATTATTCAAAGATAATCTTCTTTCTCATCTCCTTCAATCTTCTCTTACTGTCCTAGCCCATATTTTCCTCTGCCTTCTCTGAACTTTTATAACAAATATTGTCACATACGTTTATAGATTACTGAAATAGCCTCTATTTATGTCAAGTGTTTGTTATCTCCACATGCATATTGTAAACTATTTGAATGAAGAAACTTTTTTCATTTCCTCCTAAATTACGTAGAATGATTCATCATTAATAACAGATCTGAACTGAATTAAAATTGAGTTAATGGACTGTGTTTATGACTAAATAATTCTGAAGGAAGATAGTGTCATTATGTCATTATGTCATAATGATAGTGTCATTATGTTTATATCCAATGTGATTTTGCCGCCTTCCTCTCCTGTAATTTCTGCACCCATCTTTTTTCAGGATACAGTGGTAGCTCTTCAAGCCCTCTCCAAATATAGAGCAGCAACTTTTACTAAAAGTGAGAAAGCAGCTTTGGTCACCGTCAAATCTGCAGACACTTTCTCTAAAGAATTCCAAGTAGACGATGCCAACCGCCTCCTGCTACAGGAGGTCCGGTTGCCAGAGATTCCAGGGGAGTACAGCACCACCGTGTCAGGGTCAGGGTGTGTGTATCTCCAGGTGAGACTAAGGGGATGCCACAAATGGGAGAGAAAGTCTCGAGAGTTAAATTTGAATTTCAAAATAAAAAAAAAGAAATGTGTGCTAAGGCAAGATCTGAATAAACTGGAACAGATTATTTGAACTCAAAGATAAAGAACTTTTTTCACTTATTTTAGACATCCCTGAGATATAACATACTTCCTAAGAAAGAAGGGAAAGCACCCTTCGCTCTACAGGTTGATACTGTCCCCAAGAACTGTGATGAAGTAGATGCTCACAGAAAATTCCAGATTCACATCAACATTAGGTAAATCGTAAATCATGACTAGACCTTTTGTAGAATATGCAGAAATTAATTATTTTTGTGTATGGGAACTTCATTGTCCAAAGTCACACATAATGAATATGGAATAATTGTGGAATTTATTAACAAGAAAATTTTCTTGACTTACTGGAATGCCTTAATGTTAATAATATGATGTTGTTATATCTGAGAGTGTGAATTTAAAATGATGGGTTTTTCAAACAACCATAACAGAAGTAAATATGGTAGAAAGAGAAACTGGGTGGTAGAAATAAAGGGGAAGAGGAGAGTTCTATCTTAAATGAATTCCAAGGAATCTTATTTGAATGCCCCATCTCTTTGCCTTCACTTGATAGTTATACTGCGGACCGACCCAGCTCCAACATGGTCATTATTGACGTGAAGATGGTATCAGGCTTCATACCTGTGAAACCATCAGTAAAAGAGGTAAGCCCTAAATCCCTTACAGAAAGAAAAGTGATGGTAAATGCCAACATTGATGCTCATCATTTTGACTTTGTTGATGCAGTTTTCAAGAGGTTTACAGCCTCAAACTTGCCTCTTCAGAGTGTGTTTCCATAATTTTAATAGTGGGTATGATGGTTATATGGCATTAATATAGGGCATAGTTAGAAGCATGATAAAAAATGTTCAAGAAAACTCTGAGACATCTAGGTATGCAGAGTGGTATTGAATTGCCTTCCAACTATATATAAAAAGGAAAAAAGGGTATATATGCATGTATATTTATACATATTAATATATCAC